CCGTGGTATGACGGTACCATAAAAAAAAGTGGACCATTTCTCAATCTATGCGTGGCATCCTTGTGCAGGCCGCATGCTAAGAATGTTCTCTGTATCGTTCCAATTTTAACGGATGTCCCGTTTCCTTGTTGCCCTTGTTTATAGTTTACGAACTTCAACCTTATGTTTTTCAAACTCTTTTGTTCAAGTACAAAAAAAACCTGGACTCACAGGAAAAGAGAAAAACTCTGAAAAAGCGAGCAAGAGCGGAGGGAAGACGCTACACCCAAGAAGGAACTGTGGTGCTCGGTGCGCAGGTCTAAACCTTTTGCTTAGTCTTACTGAACCTTGCTGCATTTTCTGCATTTTGAAAGGACTTTCAACATTTTCACAACTTTCCAGCTTCAAATCATCGTGTTGTTTTATCGTGCGCAATGTTTGCATGTCTTTTTTTTCAGTATGTCTCCTGTCCTGTTCCACAATAGGACTCAAGAAATCTGGAAAGTTGTGAAAAGGGGCTGACTTTTTTTTTAGGCATAGACAAGGGGCTGACTTTTTTTTGAGGTATAGACAAGGGGTTGACTTTTTTTTTAGATATAGACAAGGGGCTGACTTTTTTTTTAGGTATAGACAAGGGGTTGACTTTTTTTTTAGGTATAGACAAGGGGCTGCCTTTGAGGTATAGACGCAGAGGACCCTCCTCTGCGTATTGCAGAATAGGACTCAAGCTGGAAAGTTGTGAAAAGGACCCTCCTCTGCGTGGGATTCGACACTCGAGAGGTGGCCACGATTGCACAAAGGGACTGACTTTGAGGTGTCGACTCCTCAGTTGACATCAGCAGGACAGTGAGGTAAGTTTTCCGATCGCCAGACTCAGCACGCATTCGCCAATTTCGGCAACATATGGGCAAAAAGTAGTTAAAGAAACATAAAATGCTGGGCACTGGAAGGAACTTTGCAGCAAGTTGGTCAAGGTCCTTCCTGACTGGTTGGTACGGAGGTTGGTCCAGGTGCTTCCTGTCTGGTTCATCTGGAGGTGGTTCCAGGTCCTTCCTGTCTGGTTGGTGTGGAGGTTGGTACAGGACGGACCGACGACAGACCGGCCGACAAACCGGCCGACGGGCCGATGGACAAACCGGCCGACGGACAGACGGACAGTCAGACTGACGGATGGACGGACAGTCGGACGGACGGACAGACAGACAGTCAGTCAGACAGACAAAGAGACATACATAGAGACAAGACCGAGCGACCAAGCGATCGATATTTGAACGGATGGACTGGCAGATGTACGGACGGATCGACAAATGGACCACCAAATGGATCGACCGACCGACCGCCGTACTGATGGATAGACCAACCGACGGACCGACAGACGGACTACCATCGACTGACGGAACCACCTCCATAGACGGGGCCACACACACACACACACACACACACACACACACACACACACACACACACACACACACACACACACACACACAGACTAAGTAAGTGGAGCCAAAGTATAGAGCAGTATTCCATGTCCGCTAAGACACCCTGGATCCAAAGTGTGGAGCGGTATTCCCTGTCCCGTACGATGCATGGTCCTTTGTCTGACTCTACATCACTGGATACCCACCTCCTCCAGCTGCATACCATCCCTCTTCCTCTTCCTGAAGTCTTCTGGACTCTCTGGCTATGGTGGCAGCTATGGCCAGACATAGCTGGTGAGGTAGTGCAGAAATGTGTGGATCAGGTTTCCACTCAGAAGCGCCAGACTCGGCGTAGCAGCACACGACTACATCACTTCATTCGATTGAAATAACCGACCGCCCGAATCCACACTGTGTGGAAGGGCAACCCCTATTATATTTTTGACCCGACCGGGCAAGTGGTCCCAGGCCACTCTCTCCGGTAACACAGGCTTTCAAGCACAGGCCATTCATTTGGAACCATCTCTCCCTTGAGTCCCATTCGGACTTGAGTCCCATTCGGAACCACGAGGGACTTTGGGACAAGGGACCAGAGAGGCCAGTGACTGACAGAAGTGAGGTTTCTTATCTTATTTTCTGAATACTCCCCAGTGTACGACGCCAAAAGACTATTTTGTACACACACACAAAAAAAAAAAAAACCTATTTTGATGTCGCACAATTAGAGAACAACGGATTACGAGATTATTTAATTTATTTATGATTCAAGTCCACGGCTCGTCTCATCTACTTCATGGGGAGGGCGGGGCAAGGGGAGGGGAGGAGGGGGAGGAGAGGGAGGAAAGGGAGGNGATATACAAATACATATATATCGTCACAAACAGATATAAGAGACAGGTGTGTGTGTGTGTGTGTGCGTGCGTGTGTGTGTGCCTGAGAAAGACAGTAAAGGAGTATGACCAAGAGTTCAAAGCAGAGGTGGAGCAAAAGCACAAAACAGAAGTGCATAAACAACTGTGAGTCTGGAGTTCCATTCCTTGAGAGGAGGATGGACACAAGCACAAAATAAAATGGAAAAGAGAAGAAGGGCAAGTGCCAGGAAAGAGCCCAAAAAAGGAGGAGCTTTGGGAAAAGGAAAGGAAGTTCCTTCGTACTACAACAATAGTCATCTACAGGTGACTGTAGTTTCGCTGTGCGTGCTTTAGTTGATCTTTGGCTTTGCCTTCCTCCTGTGCAACACCAGAAAGACAGTCATTGAAGCAGCTGCGATGATACCCAGGACTGCTGGGATAATTCCCACCTTCAAAGTCCTTTGCCGTGTGCAATGGACCGGATGGAGGAGCTCTTGAAGATGCTCACACCTTGCAAGAAAGTCTTCAGAAACAAACTTAAGCTGGTTGAGGTAGTTGACAGCCCTGTCGTACCGAAGCATCTCCATCTCTCGTACAAGTCCTCTCCAGATATCGATGAAATACGAGTACTGGCCCATCATCCACTCCAGATGGTGAAACTTTTTGAGTCCAGCGAAAGTCTCATCACTGGTGGCCTCGTGGGAAAGGATTCGGATCCCTTGATTCAGTCTGTGAACTGCCTGGTCCATAGCAACAACTATGTAGTTCCGCCATGCCGCATCCACGTGGAATTGAGAAAGCCTCCAGCCACGCACAGATGTGGCAGAGAGCGCATGCGCTCCGACTGCCCACATCCAATCTTCCGCCGCCTTCCCATGAGCGTGTGAGAAGGAACGATGACTTGGCAGTATGCCTGTCAGATGCTCCGCAACAGCTGCAACTGCGCTCTTCAGAGGGTTCCTCAGGTTTAAGTGCAAGGACTCCTGATTGCACTGCACATGGGACCCCCATGTCGGTTCATCCGACTGCACAACCAGGACCATGTTGCCGATGGATTTTGCCGTAAGTTCTTTGTCGATCAAGATGGGAGGATGCGCATGGAGTGAGAAGATAAAGATAGGGACATTGAGCTGACCATATCCCCAGTTAATAGAGCTGACGGAAGAGATACCATCCTCACCGATCTTTTCGAGCTGGTGCTGAAGTGTAAGGGAATCGATGTAATTTCGCTGCACTGGCCAGAAGTGGCCATGCGATGTGATGTAAGGAACTGCAGCTTTGCGCATGGATGATGTGAAAGCGACTCCCAGGGCAATGTCGTCGGCCACACCCAAGCGATGCTGGAAGAACCGGAAATCTTGCCGAGAAGTTTTGAGTTTCATCACTTCATGTTTGAAGTCATCGATGGCGAACGCGTGCTCTTTGCTCACAGCGCCATGCGGATGAACAATGTACAGATGGAACGAGACGTGCAAATGGATGTGTTTTGGATGCTGCGTAGTTGATGGTGTGATCACATTCCTCATCGCATTCGACAACACAGCGCCAACGTGAGACAAAAAGATGTCTTGGGCAAGAGATGGTGCTTCTTGGTGTTGCTTCTTCCACAACTCGTCCTCCATGGCAGCTGATACAGACCAAGAGCGCACACGTTCGAGCGCTGCTCTCAGTATTACTCTCCTCTGCTCGTCGCTGATTGCAGAATCAAGTCGATGGATCTCGTCCTGCATCGTGGCCACCCTCTCCTGCAGGTTGCGACAGGTCTTTGTCATCGTCAGCCGGCCTCGGCAATGACGCTGAGCAAACAAGTCATACACATCCAACTCAGCCATCAACATCTCCGCATCATGTGCGGGACTGAGTTCGCCGCTGTAATCCACATGGAGACTGCGGAAGCGATCTTCTGCCATTTCCTGCAGCTCTTTCTCCAGTTCCCCCGTTGACCGGTCCTCCTCCGGTGCATACCTACTGAGAACCGCAAAGATCTTTTCCATCGATGGGAGGCTGTTCTCGCCACGTACGCCCTCTCCTTTCACCATGGGCCCCCAAAAGAATGGACCTGCAGTGAGGTCCATGAAAGCAACTCGCTCTAAGGAAACCCATGAATCTACCAAGCAATCTGCATGCAGACCACTATCACGGCGCCCAACATGCTTCGCCAGATCCTTGCTGTAATCTGAGTTCTGGTTCAAGATCTGCCGTGCTTTTTTCCCAACGATCGCCGCCGGATTATCTTGATCGGCCATCATCTCGTTGCGAAGGGCCTGCAATGTGACCTGCTTCTTTGCGGCCCAGTCGTCGACCTCCTTGTGGTCAAGCAGCCTCCACAAGAACTTGTCCTTCGGTCTTTCCGACCGACTTCTACGCCAGCTGCTGGAATCTGATCCTAACGCGACAGCGGGAGGCTCCTGCGACCAATCCTTCGGCAGCTTTCGGGGAACCAAACCCCCCTCATCAACTAGCAGTTGCAACTCCTCACTGGAAAACCCAACTCTATAGCCATACTTGTGATGAAAACGCTTGGGGTTCAGAATAAAGATGTTGTAGGCATATTCCAGATTCAATTGTGCAACCAAGCTGTTCATTAGGGCCACCATGGCATCCGCGTCCACCTGATACACGTCCTCCCATGCCGTTCCAGTCCTGTTATGCACTGGGTATTCCCTTCTAGCCAGTGCTCGAATCGCCGTCTGAAAAACCTCTGTCACCCTCGGTCCCACATCGATCGCATGGCACGAAAAGTTGAAGTGGACGAAACTAAATGCCGACATTCGCTCACCCTCGCCGACCTTACTTCTTCCCCTCAACGGCTGCCCTTCTAACTCCGGCGGTATGTCCTTCAACTCCTCCCACGGCATATCTTCTTCCTCATCGGCCGGATCATTCTGGACCTCTTTTGTGCCCTTCTCATCGCCTCTCTGATCTGGCACTCGCGTGTGTTGAAGTACATGATCCATGTGTTCGAACCAGTGCCGAATATCCCACTCGTCTACCTTGAAACCATGGCTGCCATCCTGGTTAAATCCAACAAACAGGAAATTTACAGGAACGGGGAGATGAACTGCCTTCACTTTTTTGAGCTGGAGAAAGTGGGCAATCCGTCCCGACTGAGAGTAATTTACTCTATCTTCATCTGTAACCTTCAGCTTCGGAGTAACATGAATCCAATCGTCAAGATCTTCCTGTTCAAAAAGCCCGGCGCCCCTAAGGGGATCGTTCAAATCTCCAAATAGGTTAAGATGGGCATTTCTATCTACCCCAGGACCACCTACCTGGCCTGATAGAGCGATCTTGCCCATCCCTCCAAGGAGGATCAGACAGACACAAAGGTGGATTTGGAACTGACACGGGCCAATGGGACACCTACTCCGGGCGGCCATCGTCATGCTCTGTCCTCTGTTGCCCGAAAATTGACTCCACCAACGACCCACAGAACCAACCAACCACCCGTGCAACGCGCACAAAAGATTACACCGCTGGGAGACCGAATTAACCTAAGCTCAAGCTCGACAGAGGGTGAAATGCCCTCATCTATCTACACCAGGTCCTATATCTTCGTCGACTTTCCTTCCGGGTTGTAAAAAACTGGCATGCATCAGGTGCTAGAAAATGAGGAGAAACGCGAAGTGAAATGACAGGGACAGCAATGCAAAGTCGAACAAGCACCACAAGGTGCCCAGTGTATCTTCGCCGAATGGACAAGAGGGTGCTGAGTCCAGCAGCACTCAGAACCAAGCAAAGCAAACCTGAACAGGAGATCAACCAAAAAAAAAAAGGAATTCGATCAAAGGAGTAGCAATATGAAAACCACTGTTGCAATTTTGTTGGACTGTTTGCAAAATTGGTACAAAACTGCTGTGCATGCGTAGGCCACCTGTCTCACGTCGAAGTGAAAAATATATTCTCCCCAGGCCTGCAACTTGAAACGCTCACACCATACCCAGAAGGATTTCAAAAAAAAACCATCCCTTCTCCTTGTCCTTATCGTTATAGCAATCTTCTGGTCCCAAAACGGATTGGAACTTCAAGTCCCATGAACCACCAGGAACAGCACTGGTACTAAACCTACTCAAGGCAAAAGGACCACCTGGAACTGGTACTGGACCTGCAAAGAACCCTCTGCTACTGAATGGGTTTCAACATTAACCTGGTTGGTCCCGTGGAACACAAACTGGTCCTAGCAAACGCCAGATAACCTACCAGAACTGGCAGTGCACATACTAAAAAGATGCAAAAGGCAACAGTAGACCTCAGGATGTCAGCCAGTGGACAGTGGAGAACTGACCCCTGTGATGGACCTGGGAAAGCAGCTCCGCCCATGGTACAAGCCAAACACCTGCCACGCGGACAAACAGACAAAGGAGACACACACACACACACACACACACACACACACACCTGTCTCTTATACACATCTAGATGTGTATAAGAGACAGACACTGTGGCGAGTGTGTTATGGCAGTGGTATACGCACGCACAAGCCTGACAGCTGCCTGGGTTCAAACCCCAGCGGCCACAGCTGCATCCCAGATCTTGAAATATATATCCGGGAGCGGAGCGGGGCGGGGCGGGGCAGTGTGGGCGCATGGCGTGTGCGTGTGCGTGATGCGGCGGCCTTGGCCTTGGCGCCAGCACGCACGCGTCGTGATGCGGCTTCCTTTTTCGCCACGTGGAGCTCTCCTGCTGCACCACCTTTTTTCGTTGTTTTTCCCGCTTTTTCGCCCGAAAATGCCCCCAAAACAGCTGAAAACCCGACTATCGGGTTTTGCCGTATTTCCCTGCTGTGCGGTGTGGTGGGTGGGGGCGGGGACCATTCCCGCTCCGATACCAATGTAGCGGACCCACCAGGTGTGGTGCTCCGCTACTGACATAGATGGAGATGGAGGAAGAAGGAGGGAGCAAGGTGCACAGCGCAGCTCCCCACGCAGACTCCAACGCACGTACTCCGAAATGTGCAACTGAAGAATGAGCTCGAAAACAGACAAAGGTTGGGGTATACCCCAGCGGACTGACGGGACTGGACTGGACTGGCTGGTACCGACAAAGGTACCGGCCTGGACTGGACTGCCCCGAATAAAACACAGGCCTGTGAGAACAGGCCAAGGGGCTGGTCTCACAGGCCCACCGGAGGTCCGCTACAGATACGCATCCTTAATCGTGATGTCGTTCAATTTCCGATCATCAATGCAAATGCGGATCGATCCATTCTTTTTCAGGACTAATGCTATTGGAAAGGACCAAGGACCTGTAGTGGGCTCAATCCTACCAGTCATTCGCTTCAAACTCTCGAATCCATTCCGACGCCATTTTTCTTTCAGTGAGAGTGTTGAATTACCCAAGACAACCCAATACCCGCGTCGTTGACACTAATCGCCCCTTGGTATTCCCTAATAATATCGACTATCATCTAGTGAATGTCCCTTGGCACATACTTGGGCACTGTGTATCTTTTTAACGCCAAACGGGGGAATTAAACTCTCGTTGAATCCCGTTAAACTCCAAAAAATCCCGTTGAATTCGCGTTAAACGTGAAAATGGGCTGCTCCCGTGCTTTTCGGAAAAACGGAATTGATGCACAGGGTCCGGAACAAGTGGCCCTAGGCAAAAAAAAAAAAAAAAAAAATCCCCCCAACCCCTGAAGCACCTCCCATCCGCCCCCACATCCCCCAACCCCCAACGCCCCAGTTATGTGTGTGTAGGTGTGCTGTGTGTGCGCGTATCTGTGTATGTGTGTGCCTGCCGTGAGAGTGTGTCTATGCATGAATATGAATGTATGTGCGTGTGTTTGTGTATGTGTGTGTTTGTAATTGTGTGTGTGTGTGTGTGTCTGTGCTTGTAAGTGTATGTGTGTGTTTGTAAGTGTGTGTGAGTATGTGTATGTGTGTGTATATGTGTGTGTTTGTAAGTGAGTGTGTGTATGTGTGTGTTTGTAAGTGTGTATGTGTGTAAGTGTAAATGTGTTTGTGCCTGCGCGTGAGAGTGTGTCTCGCCTTACTCACAACCTCGTTCCCCAACACACAGATTCCACTTGCACCCAAGGACCACCCTGCGCCACACCCAGCTTACAGCAGCGCAGCTCGGCTATGGTTGCCTGCTCCTTCCTGCTCGCCCGTGAGCTCGTGAGTGGCACGAGCTACAACGCTGCAGCGCTTACGCAGCATGCAACCAGCACCCGAATGCCCAATGTGGAGGCAGGCCCTTTGCTATATCGAAGTGGCCTGCCTGTGTTCAGTCCCAGGAAGCTTCCAGTAGGCCCCGGTAGCCTGAGGCACAGCACGAACGAGAACAGGCCTTGGGCCTGAGGTGGTTCCATGCCCCCAACTGCCTTTGGCCTGTGTTTGGCCCAGTACCCGTATCCAGCCCAGGGCCTGCTTTCCATACATTCACACAGGCGGCCCAGGACCTGAGACTCATGCAACCTGCTACAGGCCCAATTTTGTGTGTGTGTGTGTCTTTTTTTCCTTTTTTTAATTTTCTTTTTATGGTTTTGATTTTTTTTTAAATACACGAAGTTCCAAAAAAATAAAATAAAAAATAAATTGTTGTACATCTTTGAAAGATCTACAACCCTATATATATATATAAACTCCGACGAAACAGTTTGTCACAGCCCCTCGTTTGTTGTCCTCTTCTCCCTCTCTGCCTACGGTTTACCGGGCAGTTCTATTTGACGATATATATATATCGTCACAAACAGAATATATATATATATCGTCACAAATAGAACTGCCCGGTAAACCGTATATATATATATATATTTTTTGTTTTAGCCCTTAAAAAATATGTGTGAAACCCAAAACAAAAACACTCATTTCATTTTAGTTTTTGTTTTTTCATTGTATGTTTATGTTTTTGATTTTTTAAAAATAGATTTAAGAATAAAAAAATACAAATAAAAATACAGGGTTGTAGTCCTCAACAAAACCTACAACCCCATTTTTTTGTTTTGTTTTTTGGATAATTTTTAGCCCACGAGAAAAATCATCCCGGACCCCGTTAATTCGCGTCCAACTCACGTTTGAACGGGAGTTTAACGCGAATTCAACGCGCGTTGAATTTTTCAACGTGAAACCCGCGTTAAATCCAATTTCGGACACACAGCTTGGGCATATGTAGTGAGCAGGGTTGTCCGTTGATCACGACTTCCACCTGCTTTGTGCGAGTCGATTTTGAATTTTGGGGCGGGGGAGAGGAAATGAACGAATGGTCTGATCCCCAAGAGAACACAATGGCAATCATTTAAGCGTCGGTTTCTCTGATCGCCATGTGTTCTTCAGGGGTAATTCCATCCTCTGGTTTCGAGGATCCACAATTTTTTTGGCAATTTTGATCCCGTTTTCAAACGCGGAGGCGTGAAACCGCTCAAGGGGTTCCAAAATTTGTGCCTCAGCGCCTTGCTGGAGCATACACACCTCTTTCCCTGTCGTGAGTAGTGATTGGGGAGACAGTTTCGTGACATCACAGAAAGACTCCTTCTCCAGATAGTGAGGCAGCACGAGGGTAGTTGCGTCATACATGGTTTGACGGGGTTCCAAAGAATCTTGCGACCTTGAAACTTTCACGAGTGGCTCTCTCATGGTTAAGGTACGTACGGGCTGGAGCCTTTTTGGTAGCGCATTAGTTTCCGCGATTATAAACCTCTCACTTGTCCTTTGGCAGATCGGGTAACGCAATATCCTACGCGTCAGCTCATGGACGGTCTCCCGTCAGGATATTCTTCACTCTCATAATCAACACGACGCAAGGCGACGAATCCATCATTTCCTCCCTCTGCTTGGTCGGATTCGTTTGTCAATTCATCCGGCAAGATCGTCCGAATGCCTCCTGCATCGTCTGCGGGGGTATCTCGGGGTTTGTTGGAGGCCGCTCGAAGGGTGACGCGCATCGGAACATTGTACGACTTTCCTCCCGTACTCTCAAGGACCACTACCCGTCGTTCGAAATTCAGATTGGCTTGCAATGCATTGAGGGCAGGCAATCCAATAAGGATATTGTAAGACGTCACCTCGAGGACTATCACATCCCCAAGGATATGAACTTTTCTTATCTGGAAGACGACATTCGTCATCCATCCTGCTGCTCTAATTCTTCCTTCGTAGGCCAAAATGAGGTGGTGACCCTCGGGGATTGGGATCAGATCTTCCTGTCTACGTGCTCGTTCAACCAAGCAAAGCGATATGGCCAACACAGCCGCTCCTGAGTCGATAACACCGCCGAACGACAATCCCCATATTTCCATGCCACATCCGCAGATTTCCAAGAGATTGGTTTGATGTGTAGGAATTGATCATCTTTCTGAATTAAGCCTATGCGTATAGGGCTCTGAGGTGCTGGCCACTTTCGGATTCCGTTCTTTGGTGGGAGCCTTTCCTTTTATGGTTGCAAGCTTTTTGTTCGCCTTGCAATGCTGTAACATACGATCATTGACCGCTTCCGAAATAGAGAAGGGATGTCTGATCGGGAGGGGAATATGGTGATCCAACGCTCTATCAAGTATGTCGATTTCTCCGGTGACAAAAGTCGATCCTCCCGATTTCATCTCACTAGGCGAAGACCTCCACTCTGAAACTTCCCGCTCTTCAATGGCTGGTTGGACGGCTCCTATCATTCCCAATCCCGGGTACCCCAACATGATGTATTGATCGAGGGGAATGAGCTCAGCAGCCTCTCCTATGGCGGAGGTCACGGTCACTATCCTGTTCGTTTCTTCCACCATCGTTCCTACTCGTCCGGGTTCATTCGCCAAAGGCTCTGCCACAGCGGGAGTTGCTCCTATCCAAGCCTGAGAGGGTCAGTTGGGGCACTCCCGCGCTATATGTCCGGGTTGATAACACGTGTTGTAGCCGTTCGCTTTTGCGGCAACAGTTGAGGCGACCCCTGCAGTCGTTTGTGCCTGCTGGGTTCCTGCTAGGAACACCGTGGTTCGGACGGTTAAATGGCACACTGAGCTCATCAAGGTTTTCATGCGGGTATTGTACTCTCGCTGCTCCTTCTTGTTTTCTTGTATGAAGTTTACCATGGTTCGCATAAGATCCATTATTGCACTCGATTCGCCATTTTTTTTCCTACGAGTGCCGGGGTGGTGGTTGGTGATGGCCCAGTGTTTAAATTGGGGTTCATTATTTTGACTGTCACCTATTCTAGGTAGGTGACTGGTCTTGAGACAAAGCCCATATTTTCAAATTTGTCCTGGAGTGCACCCAGTTCTGCTTCAGCCCGAGCTAAGTTCGACTCGTGAGCCCATTTATAAACCTAACTCAACCCACCTTCTCGTCTCTTTCAGAACTAACAAATAATCGATAAAACCGACTGCGATACTCTGCGACGGACTCGAGG